ATTGCATACCTGAGGAAGCTGTTGAACGCGCAGAAGACCACACACAAATCTAAAACGTTACAGGTGGTTGAAAGCAGTAGCTATGGCTGAAGCAGGGTGCATAGACATACATCCACAGAGACAATGTATTTCTCCTATAAAACCGACATAGATTAGGTTATTGCATCTTTGGGCGAGGGTGGTGGTTTCTCAAGGCAGGCTTTAGTAATCAGACTGTATAACGTAGCCACAGATGGAGGCTTCAGTAACTATACATGCACTGAGAGGTGCAAGTGGAACAACTCCGCTGTGAAGTTTCTTACACCAACAGCAAATGCAGGTTAGCTTTTGGACATGAAAACTAATGGTATGTACCTTATCACAGATACTGATGTCAGCTCCATTCTCTATCAGCAATTGAACTACAGCTGCATGACCATTGAAGGAGGCAGAGTAGGCTGGAGTCTGACCACTCTGTAGAGAACATACAACAGAACACTGGACATGGGACATGGTGTGAGGTGAGAATGGTTCATGAGCTCTGCTGTGGACTGGGTTTCTATACAGCAGTTATGTGGTGGTATTGTGGCTACGTAATTGGTCATATCAAGGTCTGTAGCCAGGTTCAACGAAGTCTAAGTTGTCTGTTAGCAACAGTCGAAGATAGTCACCATTACTGAAAGTAGGAATCAGGACTGTAGTTGTCATCACCTTGTTCTGGTGGTTGACGTTGGCTCCTGCCTCCACATCTTTTGGGTACTAAAGTGTGGTGTTTGTTGGTGTGTGTGAGATGCCAAAGAGTCTGCTGTGTACTTGTGCCTTTCCCCTATACACTATGGTACAATTAGTGGAAAAATCATTTCTCTCAAATGAAGGGCTGTACAGGGATGCCACGTCATGAGAAAGGAGGGGAACGGCCTACACCGAGAGAGAGAAAATGATCACCAAGGTTTACTAGGAGGTTGGTATCTTTGCATGTACACAGTGCTGGTGGTATGGAATGGTTTACTCCTACTCCTCAAACCTTTGACCTCTAGCTATACAGACACCAGCCACGCAACCGACTGCCCAATACATCAAGCTTATATAGCAGACAGAGTTGTTCCCAGGACAGGAGTAAGAAATGACCTGGCAATGAGGAACGAGGCCACTCTTTTCCTAGCAAGCACCCCCAGTGAAGACAACACAATTCCATTCCCATCACCACAACCTTTTCATTGTGCCCCAACTTGATGTGCAATGCTGCTCTACAATACAATATCCAATAGGTAATATCGGGACAGCTCAAATAGGCACAACACCCACTTTACTAGAAGAAGGCAACACATTCTTGGCAAGTGAAGCGAGCAGTTCCGATTATTCGCTCATTTCATGAATCACGTAGAACATTACGGCATGTCACAGTGCCTGTCACATAATATATAGAAATTAGCTGGTAGAAACGAGTTGGTTCGCTCCCCAATAACCACTAACCCATTTTTAGGTTTTCGAACTATAGTTAAGTTAATAATTCCATGACTTCACTGAGCATTGTGTTAATAGGAAGACACTGTAAGTCTATCCAACTCTCTCAGAATGTTTTACATACGTACCTTGGTTGTTGCCTGGTGTACATCAGCTCCTGCTTTCACCAGGACATCCACCACCTCAGTGTGTCCATTACAACTGGCAACATAGAGTGGACTGTGACCATCCTGTACAGTGAGAGAGAACTAATGAGACATTCCTGACTCACTAACTGACCACTCATCTCCCTCCCTGGACACCAGGAGACCTGACAACCATCTCTGTCAGGTCTCCTCCTCAATTTATATTCAGATACTGCCATTATCACTATTCTGAAGTCTATCATAATACAGTGGGTCCGGGTTAATACCATACCCGCAGTGCATCAAAAAAATATGACATTATGCGGGATAATCTATCAGAGCGTCGGTAGACGCTCTATAATTATAGGGATGACACGTATGAAATCTCACGTGATCCGCGTGTAAAACGCCTCATAACTTGGCGAGAATGACTCACCATGGCTTCAAAATCACTAGCAATAGTCTAGAGGCTCGCTATACATTATGCCCCGAGACTTCCTACGTGCCCTCAGTTCCCCACGAGAGAATTCACTCTTACGCGATTTCACGATTTTCGTGTCATCATCATCATCATCATCATATTCTTCATCTTCCAGTTTCTCTTCAGTAAACCCGCTATCTCATTACCGAAAATAGTTGAAGTGCTGATTTTTTCCATCAAACGTTTCCAGATTCGCCAGAGGTGTGCACGGATACAGCAAAGATGCACAAAGCTACATGACACCATCCCTATATCTTTGTTTTATTGTTTATTGGCAAAGTTTAATATGAGACAAAGATATAGGTATGGTGTCATGTAGCTTTGTGCATCTTTGCTGTGTAATGACCCCTTGTTCTTCCTTTTTGGTGCTTCAAGCCATCACTATATCCCCTTCATTTTGAACAAATGATTTTTCCACTTGTATAATTATAATGCAGGCTGGCTATACTGTGTATACACAGGGTATGTATATACATAGCGCACAATGCAGTTTGTTTAGCTAAGCTAACGAAGCTAGGCCATGTTTACATAAGCTAAATGGAAGCCAGGTGGAGAATGGAGAATGGAGAGTTGCAGCCCAAGGTTGTAGAATGCCTTATCACGCATGCGCAATAATGATAATTGCAGGCAAAAACCAAAATTTTTTCTATGGTAATAGGCGGGAAATGACATTCTATAAAACGGAGTAAAATGTATGGGAAACCAGTGGGTCCCGCTGTATTACACCATTCACCTATTGTAGACACAGAGGGACACAAACCAAGTACTGTAACCTTCGCTTTGCATGCGCGTTCAGGGTTCATTGTCCGGAATGAAGACAGCAGCTCCAGCCTTGAGCAACAGACGTACAACCTCAACATGACCTTTCCAAGAGGCTAACAGTAGAGCAGTGTGTCCTTCCTGCAAGTGGTGGTGATACAGAGACCAGTGGAGCAGCAGTCAATGAACGGAGTCAGAAATGAGACTACACATTCACTAGTAGAGAGCCTCACATCCTCAGTCCTGGAGTTGATATTGACAGAAGTGGAGAGGAGTCTCTGAACTGCCTCCACATCTCCTCTCTCAGCAGCATCGTGGAGCTCTGTTCTTCCCTGGGGAGAGGGAGAGACACAATGGTAGACAGAGAGAGATAGGGAGAGAGAAGTGTGGATAAATAGAATACAGAAACAGGTTTAGTGGAAAAAATAGAAACCTCCTGTTGTACAAACCTGGGTAGAGATTTGTTGGTATCTGTAGTGGAGCTCTGTTCTTACCTGGGGGGAGGGAGAGACACAATGGAGGATAGAGAGATATAGGGAGAGAGAAGTGTGGATAAAAAGCTTAGTGGAGAAAGTATATAGCAACCTCTGGTTGTACAAACCT